ATAATATATTTATTCATGTTGGTGGAAAAACGCCCTTCCCCAGTTGAAAAGGTTGGTGGCGCTTTTTACCAGTCACTAGTTTTTGCTTTGGTGCCACACTTTGACTCTGTGTGATAATTCATTACCTCAGCTTGAATTGAGCTTTTAAATATATTTTTTTACTTTTACCTCTTTTTTTAGCACCCCCTTAGTGATGGCGCTAGGGATGGCCGCTCCACCCGCCCTCCCCTAGCTACGCCACTGCGAGAGAGTGAGCTTTAATATTATACTGGTGATGTAACTGATATAACTTTTGAAATTAATGTTTGAATATTTTAAAATTCCAAATAAACAATTAATACTTCTTTACTGTAAAAGGTATGTCAGCAAACTTGATATTCACAATCTTAGAAACATGAGTTGTTGACAAAAAATATATTTTAAAAAAAAAACGTTTGAGGTACGTGTATGAGGTCGTCCATACTGGACATCACACACACACTGGGAGGTGGGGGGAGGATTTTTGTAACTAGGAGGTGGGGTTCAGAAAGTGATCATACACTCCGTATTTTAAAGTAATGTACACTGTCTCAACAAACTATCCGTATGATAAAAAATATATCATCCAATCAGCAATCCTATTTAGTCTAGATCTACGTCTACCCATCGCGATTTTCATCCTAGAATAAGGAAAGACAACACTGTTCTAAAAATAAACCATCGAATCAAACCAGCGAAGCGATTTTATCAATGACGTCAATGTATTTTCTGAAAGTAGTATGTCAAAGAAGACAAAACGTAGACAGCGGTCTATGTTAGGGGGCATCCATAAATGACGTTACGCTTTTTTTTTTACGTTATTTTTAATATTTTACCTCCCCTCCGTCACACATTGTCACAAAAAGCCAGACCCCCCCACCCCCAAAATGACGCTCACCTCAGCCTACAACGCACCTTAAAATTGCAGTTGAATTTTTCTTAAAAAATCGTGTCTTAACGTCTATATTATATAGTTAAAATAATTGAGTAGAAATACAAAGCCCCAGCTAGATTGATTTTGGTTATCTTATTTTTGTAAACACATGTGACATTTCTCACGTGTCGGACAAACGAGCAACACTTCACATTCTAAATCATGGGTTTGTGATTTTTTTTTCTAGATCTTTTTGTAATAATAATATTATTTATTATGTTATTATGAATTATGGCTTTAATACAAGTATATTATATATTTTTGTGTCAAATATAATAGATAATTGAATAATAAACCAAAGGCAATGTCTAAAAATTAAAAAAATATATCAATAAAGGCTAGAAATTGACTACAGCCTTCTGCAAATAAGAGTGGTTTCCCCTGAATTTCTAGCTAAAATCATAAAATGTTACCAAAAAACTTAAAACAAGATGGCTTCTAAAGTAAATGAGCTTGGTTGCCAAGTAGCATCTGATGAAAACATCGCTAATCTTTATTTATTACTGAAAAGTTTTAATACAAGTGTTTATAAACAGGTACATGAATGAAGGGTTGAAACATTTCTGTAATTTTTACTACTAGATCTACTACTAGAGTCTACATAAATCTTTCTAAAAATGTGAAATAATTACAATAATTAATTTGATGAGTCACCCTTTTTTCACACTAGCCTCGGCCGATTTTACGTACCTAAATGATAGATTACCAAACATAGATCTACTAGAATCTGGACCAATTTTAAAGGGGCAAAGCATAGCCACACAAATTTTATTAAATTAAATTAATAAGTAATAAATTAAGCAATGCAACTCTTGAACTCACTCACACACTGAACAAAACAACTGTCAACTGAGTCTAAAAATTGAGGAGTGCCTGAGTCCACTGCTAGTAGGTCTAGTGCTAGGCCACTAGAAACTCTAGTCTAGTGACTAGTCATAGTACTTATATATATAGTGTAGTATATGTATACAATGCTGCTAGCTACTGTCCTGTAAGTGAGAATCCCTATTTGCAGTGCTTACTAATAAACATACTATGTAGTTTAGTAGTACCACACTACTACACTATGTTTTATTTTAGTTTTAATAACACATGGCATAAGTAATATAGGTAGCTGAAGATAATAAAAATAATTTAATAAAAGTCACCTCATATAGATCTAGTTTCAATTGAAATTTGAATTACAATACAATTATTATGACTAATTAATATTCAATAATACATTTTGTTTAATATGTTTCCTTTTAGCCTAACCTTCTCTTTAAATGTAAGACTATACATATTTCAGATATAAGATAGGTCTACTCATTTTGAAAATGCTATGCAAAACTAAAGTAGGCCTAACTGCTGTTTAGACTCACGAATAAATGCAATAGATGGATCAAAGTAGAAAATTAATTTCATTTTACCCAGAACCCATATAAAATATAGAGAATAAAAAGACCCTTTGCTCAAATTCCTTTTTTTTTTAAATATGTAGACTTCTCAGTTATAATGCCCATACTTTATATTTTTATTTTTGAAACAATATGGTAATAGTAATTCGGGGTTGTTTGGTTCTGTGTCAATAAGTGCCATCCATAAAAAACTTGGAGTAAAATAAGATTTCAGACTTAACATAATAATGCAGATGAAATTGAGTTCATCTGAATCTATCCATGTGTGCTCAACAAATAAAGAAATAGTCTGGTTTGTTTTGTGTCTACACATCTTTACTTTCCCTACCTTAAGTCAGGTGTCCATCATAGCTGGTTGATGTTATACTTTTTTTTCTAAATTAAAAACAAAACAAAATACCTGAATGGAATATCATGTATTATATAAAATCGTGCATAGCATATAGAAAATAGTGTCATGTTTTAATTATTTAGCCATTTTTATTATATCCAAAATAGGACCCTAATGGAAAACTATAAATAAAGCACTTGTGTTACGATGAGATCACAGCACCAACCTAGAGGCCAGGCAATGGAATAAATAGGTAACTCTTCAGCTGCAATAACAATGAGGAAAAACTAGTAGTGTGTGACTGCTCTTAATATTCTTGACACAAAAAGCATCCATTGTAATGCTGTTTGACATAGGTGTTATGTTAGGCTTATTGTGAAAAGAATATACATAGCCGCATAAGTCAGCATTCATGTTTTTGAAGAAAATTTTTATTTATGCTTCTTGATTATTTCTGGAAATATTATTTTCAAAAAAAATTATTTAATTATTTAGTTATGGAGCTAAAGGATAGAAAAAAAAGAGAAGCTGATATAGAAGTATTACCAAGTGTTTTAGAGATCCAGGTGGACAACCAGCCATATATTGTCAATATAATTTCATCTGAATATATAAAACAAGAGGAGTTTACAGGAATTGATGATACAAAAGCAAATGTATTGTCAACATGTGAAAACAAAAATCATGATTTATTATCAGAATTTACAACACATGTAGACAATAAACCAGATAGACTTGATTTATTTTCAGTTTTTGAAGATATAAAACCTGATGGTTTGAATGCAGGTTTAAACCTATCACTAGAGACAACTCTAACTGATAATATTTCTCATATAAAGACAGAGATATCAACTGATTTATCAGAGCTTAACCATTAATGTCCCGTAACGCCCGCTGCCGCCCGACACCGTTAATGTCCCGTAACGCCCGCTGCCGCCCGCTTACAATAAGCATAGAAAAATTAAATTTGTTTTATTAAAATTTGGCCTACAAATCCTAATTTTTAACTAAACAGGAAGTCGGATGGTTTCAGCATCCTTTTCCGGTCTTGTAATTTCAATGGCGCTTTTGAAAGATAAAAAATAATAGTTTCTTTCTATCTCGAAATTTTCGACTCATCTGTCGTATTTTTAGTAGATTTAATATTAAAAATAAAAAAAATTAATGCCTCTAAACGTATCTAGGCATGTATTTTATGAATTATATATGTTAAACATAACCAAATTGATATTTAACTGTTAAATTCGATGCATAGTTGTTAAGACAAAAATAAATAAAGTTGACTACCGAAAATGACCTGTTTTGAATTTTCTCAGACATTTTTTATTTTTATACTGTACTTTTACCGAATATAATATATTCTATTTAATACTGTTGGAAAGCCAGGTTTATTCCCAACATTAAGCAGTACTTTTTATCTTAATTTTCAATTTCATTTAGACAAAAACAAATATTTTGTGAAACTATTCACTTGATCATACAGAGTTATGCTCCTTACATTGGGCCGTCATGGGTGGAGTTTTGGTAGAATGAATGGGACATTAATGGTTAAGAATACTCAGATAAACAACAATGAAAATCAAACATCAAATCAGGTTGAATTATTAAAGCAGTGTAAGAAGAAAAACTTAAAATCTTCAATGTTTAAAACTCTTCTAGTAAAATGTAAAGAATCACACACAAGTGTGAGGTCATATGAGTGTAATGTGTGTCATAAAAAGTTTGCTACAAGAAGTAAACGAAATCAACATAAATCTATTCATTCAGGAGAGAGGCTATGTGGATGTTATCTGTGTAATCAAAGGTTTCCCTTAAATAGTAAACTCAACCAACATGGACAATTTCACAAAATAGTGAGAGCACAAAAGTGTGATGTGAACCATAAAATGTTAGGTTCAAAGAGGAATCTAAATCAACATAAAGCAATTCATTCAGGACAGAGGCTGCACATGTGTGATATTTGTCATATAAAGTTTACTAGAAGAACTAACCTAAATAAACATAAAGCTACACATTCAGCGGATAAGTCACATGAGGGTAATATGTGTAATAAAAAGTTTGCTACTAGGACATATCTAAAACAACATAAAGCAATTCATTTAGGAGAAAGGTTACATGAATGTGGAGTCTGTCATAAAAAATTTACTACAAGAGGTAATCTAAATCAACATATAGCTATTCATTCAGCGGAAAAGTCACACAAGTGTGATGTATGTGATAAAAAATTTGCTTCAAAGAGGTATCTAAATCAACATAAAGCTATTCATTCAGGAGAGGGACTACATGAATGTGATGTATGTCATAAAAAATTTATTTACAGGACCAACCTTATTAAACATAAAGTAATTCATTCAGCAGTAAAGTCACATGAATGTTATGTATGTCATAAAATATTTACTTCAAAGAGTAATCTAAATCAACATAAAGCAATTCATTCAGGAGAAAAGCTGCATGAATGTGATGCATGTCGTAAAAGGTTTTCTAGAAAGTCCTCCCTAAACCAACACAGAGCAATTCATTCAGAAGAGAAGCTGCATGAATGTGATGTATGTCATAAAAAGTTTTCTAGAAAGTCCACACTAAAGCTACATAAGTTAATTCATTCCACTGAAAAGTTGCATGAGTGTGATGTATGTCATAAAAAATTTGTTTCAAAGAGTCAACTAAATCAACATAAAGCTATTCATTCAGCAGAGATGGTACATGAATGTGATGTGTGCCATAAAAAGTTTACTACCAGTTCTACTCTAATTAAACATAAAATAATTCATTCAGCAGAAAAGTCTCTTCAGTGTGATGTGTGTCATAAAACATTTACTACCAAGGGTAACCGAAATCAACATAAAACAGTTCATTCAGAAGAAAAGCTTCATGAATGTGATGTGTGTCATAAAAGGTTTTTTAGAAAGTCTTACCTAATGGAACACAGAGCAATTCATTCAGCAGAAAAGAAACATGAGTGTGATGTATGTCATAAAAAATTTGCAATAAGGACTAACCTAAATCACCATAAAGCTATTCATTTAGACGAGTGGCTACATGAATGTGATGTGTGTCATAAAAAGTTTTCTAGAACGTCATACCTAAAGCAACATAAATTAATTCATTCCAATGAAAAGTTACAAGAGCGTGATGTACATTATAAAAAATTTGCTTCAAAGAGTCATGTAAATCATCATAAAGCTATTCATTCAGGAGAGAGTGTACATGAATGTGATATGTGCCATAAAAATTTAAATACCAGTTCTTCTCTAATTACACATAAAGCAATTCATTCAGCACAAAAGTTATATAAGTGTGATGTCTGTCATAAAAAGTTTACCACCAAGGGTAACCGAAATCTACATAAAACAGTTCATTCAGATGAAAAGCTACATGAATGTGATGTGTGTCATAAAAGGTTTTCTAGAAAGTCTTACCTAATTGAACACAGAGCAATTCATTCAGCAGAAAAGAAACATGAGTGTGATGTATGTCATAAAAAATTTTCAACAAGGACTAACCTAAATCACCATGAAGCTATTCATTCAATAGAGAGTTTACATGAATGTGATGTGTGTCATAAAAAGTTTTCTAGAAAGTCCTACCTAAGGCTACATAAATTAATTCATTCCACTGAAAAGTTACCAGAGTGTGATATATGTCATAAAAAATTTACTTCGAATTGGAATCTAAATCAACATAAAGCTATTCATTCAGGAGAGAGGCTCCATGAATGTGATGTTTGTCATAAAAAGTTTACTACCAGGGGTAACCTAAATCAACATAAAGCTATTCATACAGGAGAGAGGCTCCATGAATGTGATGTTTGTCATAAAAAGTTTACCACCAAGGCTAACCTAAATAAGCATAAAGCAATTCATGCAGCACGAAAATTATATGAGTGTGATGTTTGTCATAGAAAGTTTACCACCAAGGCTAACCTAAATAAGCATAAAGCAATTCATGCAGCACGAAAGTTATATGAGTGTGATGTTTGTCATAGAAAGTTTACCACCAAGTTTAATCTAAATAAACATAAAACAATTCATTCAGCACAAAAGGTAACTTGAGTGTTATGTGTATCATAGAAAGTTTGCTACAAGGATTTTCCAAAAATCAACATGAAGCTATTATGGAAAAGCACCATATAAGTGTGATGTGCGTCATCAAGGGTTTTCTTAAAATAAAAACTAAATTGACATAAACCCATGGCATCACATGAGTGATTTGTGCTATTAAGGGGATATGCGCGGAAAAAAATCACAAAATTTCTTGTTTTTCGTCATGATCGGTTTCTTGCACTTTTGGATACTTTGTCCATTTTTGTATAAAGAAAATAATAACTTTAAAGCGAAAAAAATATTTTATGTGTTTGAATTCCGATTTTTATGAACCTATTAATTAAAAAATAATCAATTTTTCCCAATCTTACAAGCTCTCTATGAAAAGTTCTATATCCGTCATTATATTGTATTTGACATCATTGGAAAGCTGGATTTCTCATGTGTCTAATAAACTTAATTTCCTACATCTCGGAAACACCCAAAGCTTACAATCGGCTTTGCAGTTTACACAGATATGGTACTTTCCTGACCTAGTTTTCGTTACTTTTGGCTGTTTTTCTCAGTTCGCATGTTTTTAACACTAAAAAGCCTACTACTTTTTTAATTATAAAACAATGCCAACCATATTTTCAGTAATTGTTCTTGATGCAAAAATACAACTTTTGTCACGAGGGAATTGTGATTGCTTTCATAGAAAAAAAGTATTTGTTAATTAATATGCAAATTTTGAAACTTTTGAATACTAAAAAGGGTACGATTTTTTAGACCTTGTAAAATTCTTACTAGTAATTATTTCAAAAAGTTGTCGTGACAAAAGTTTTAATATATACTGAAATATAAGCAGTTTAAATTTAATTGCTATGGGTGCATAAATAAAAAAGCCTTAGTATTTTCAAAAGTACCGAAAAATTCAAAATGGCGGAGGTTTTTTGGGTTTCCATGACAACCAAAATTGTTTTCGACCTTTTTTTTTTGCTGTTTAATACTTACTTTTATATGCCAAATATGATAAAACTATTCAAAAGGCTTTAGATCTTAGACTGTAAAAAATAGAAAAAAACATAGCATATCCCCTTAAAAGTTTGCTACAAGGAGTAATCTTTATCAACACAAAGAAAGTTATACGGCAGAGGTTGCATGAGCGTAATAGAAAGTTTCTGTTGATAATTACTCTAAAATGCCATCAATAATTGATTTAGAAGTAAGTCAAATTAAACATTTCCGAATCAAGTATGTGTAAACAAACTCATTCATAAATAGATTAAATTATATTTTTATACTGTAAAATGCTGCAAGGGGTCAACCCTTTATGATGTCCACAAAAATTCCCTCCCCCCCCCCCCCCCCGACTCCTCCCTTTGACTATTTACTTAAATACCTAAAAACTGACACATACTTCGACTACTTCAACGTTAAGTTCAACATGCCGACCTAGTCAATTTTTTTGTCTCTCCCCACCCCACACCCCTTGTGCTGACTTCATACATGGATGACCCCTAAGCAATAGAGACAACATGAGTATAACATTGTTCATAATAAAGTTAGCTTTTATCAAGCAAATTATTTAAGAGAGGTCAAATTTTTGTTCTTAATGTGTAAACACAAATCTTGATTTCTTATGAGACCTTAATCTTGAAATAAATTAAAATACACAAAAAAAACAGATAAACAATGATTTTTATCCATTTGAGAATATAAAACCTGATGTTTTAAAGCAGAGGAAATCTTTTCCTTAGAGAAAACTGTAATTGACATTTTTTTCCCAAAAAAAAAAAAAGACTGCTGTGTGTATCTTAGCAATTTACTTAAGTTATGTCCAAAAAAATCTGAATGTTTTTTGTGCTTCACAATGTCAATTTGAAAAAGATTCCTTCTTATTACTATTAGTATTAGTGAAATTACTAGTGACATTTTTGCATGATCTGTGTGTATAGTTATGAATATCATCCATGTTGAGCATGATTTCATTTTTGCAATTCATTTAAATTATTAAATCTAGACCATTTGTTTTCTACTTCCTTTGATAATCTTGTTAAAACTTCATTAAAATCAAAACTTTTTACAAAATATAGTGTAATGTTTTTTTTCTTGAAAAGCTGGTAATTTTGTATGTGTTTGTACTGCAAGAGAGCAGAGGCGTAGCGACCCATATCAGGCACCCGACATGAAGTATCAATTTTGTGACCACCTCCCATTTATATTATATTTATTCATGTTAGTGGGAAAAAACGTCCTTACCCAGTTGAAAAGGTTGGTCGGGCTTTTTTACCAGTCACTAGCTTTTGCTTTGTTACTACTTTGACTGTGTATAATTCAATACTTAAGCTTAAAATTTAAATGAGCTTTTAAATATTTTTTTTACCTCTTTTGGCACCACCTTAGTGATGGCGCTTGGGACAGCCGCTGCGAGAGAGAGTGAGCCTTAATATTATACTGTTGATGTAACTGATATAACTTTTAAAAATAATGTTTGAATATTTTAAAATTCCAAATAAATAATTAATACTTCTTTACTGTAAAATATATGTCAGCAAACTTGATATTCACAATCTTATAACCATGAGTTATTGACAAACAATAATTATTGGGAAAAATGTTAGCGGTACGTAAAAGATCGTCCATAAAAAATAAACCATCGAATTAAACCCGCTATGCGATTTTTATCAATTTATTCTCTGAAAGTAGTATATCATAGAAGACAACACGTAGACAGCTGTTTATGTTATAGTAAGTTAAAAAACCAGAGGACTAGCTAGGGCGCTTTTTTCGCGACTAAAATCAGAAGAATTAAAAAAGGTGTTATGTTTGGCATATTGTGAAAAGAATATGTTTAGCTCCATAAGTCAGCATTCATGTTTTCGAAGAACATTTTAATTTATGTTTCTTGATTATTTCTGGAAATATTTCAATTTTTTTTTAAATTATTTATTTATTTATTAGTTATGGAGCTAAAGAATAGAAAAAAAAGAGAAGCTGGTGTAGAAGCATTACCAAGTGTTTTAGGGATCAAGCATGAGCTAACTGTGGATATCCAGCCAGATATTGTCAATATAATTTCAGCTGAATACATAAAACAAGAGGAGTTAACAGAAATTAATGACACAAAAGCAAATGTATTGTCAACATGTGAAAACAAAAATCATAATTTATTATAAGAGTTTACAACAAATGTAGACAATAAACCAGATAGTGATACACTCAATTTATTTTCAGTTTTTGAAGATATAAAACCTGATGGTTTAAATGCAGGTTCAAACCTATCACTAGAGATAACTCTAACTGACAATATTTCTCATATAAAGACAGAGATATCAACTGATTTATCAGAGCTTAAGAATATTCTGATAAACAACAATAAAAATCCAATATCAAATCAGGTTGAATTATTAAAGAAGTGTAAGACGAAAAACTTAAAATCTTCAAAGTATAAAACTCTTCTAGTAAAATGTAAAGAATCACACACAGATGTGAGGTTATATGAATGTGATGTGTGTCATAAAAACTTTTCTACAAGAAGTAAACTAAATCAACATGAGACTATTCATTCAGAAGAGAGGCTACATGAATGTGACATGTGTCATAAAACTGTTTTCTAAAAGAGCTTATCTAAAGAAACATAAAACAATTCATTCAGCACAAAAATCACATGAGTGTGTTGTGTGTCATAAAAAATTTACCACTAAGAGTAATCGAAATCAACATCAAATAATTCATTTCCCAGAAAAGTTACAAGAGTGTGATATATGTCGTAAAAATTTGTCTCAAAGAGTCATCTAAATCAACATAAAGCTATACATACAGGAGAGAGGATACATGAATGTGATGTGTACCATAAAAAGTTTACTACCAGTTCTACTCTAATTAGACATAAAGCAATACATTCAGTAGAAAAGTGGCATGAGTGTGATGTTTGTTATAAAACGTTTTCTAAAAGAGCTTATCTTAAGCAACATAAAACATATCATTCAGGAGAAAAATCACATGAGTGTGATGTGTGTCATAAAAGATTTACTACCAAGGGTAACCGAAATCTACATAAAACTTCTGTTCATTTAGAAGAAAAGCTACATGAATGTGATGTGTGTCATAAAAGATTTTCTAGAATGTCTTACCTCAAGCAACACAGAGCAATTCATTCAGCTGAAAGGTCTCATGAGTGTGATAAATGTCATAAAACATTTGCAACAAGGATTAACCTAAATCAACATAAAGCTATTCATTCAGAAGAGAGGCTACATGAGTGTGAAGTGTGTCGTAAAATGTTTGCTACCAGTTCTACTCTAATTAAACATAAAGCAATTCATTCAGCAGAAAAGTCGCAGGTTAATAAAAATGTTCATAAAATAATTCATTTACCAGAAAAGTTACAAGAGTGTGATGTATGTCATAAAAAATTTGTCTCAAAGAGTCATCTTAATCAACATAAGCAATTCATTCAGGAGAGAGACTACATGAATGTGATGTGTGCCATAAAAAGTTTATTACCAGTTCTACTCTAATTAAACATAAAGCAAATCATTCAGCACGAAAGTTATATGATTGTGAAGTGTGCCATAAAAATTTTATTACCAGTTTCACTTTAATTAGACATAAATCAATTCATTCAGCACGAAAGTTATATGAGTGATGTTTGTCATAAAAAGTTTACCACCAAGTTTAACCTAAATAAACATAAAACAATTCATTCAGCACTAAAGGTCACATGAGTGTTATGTGTGTCATAGAACGTTTACTACAAAGATTTTCCAAAAATCAACATGAAGCTATTCATAGAAAAGTACCATATAAGTGTGATGTGCGTCATCAAGGGTTTTCTTAATATAAAAAAATAAAAACATAAAAAAAATTCATGTCATCGCATGAGTGATTTGTGCTATTAAAAGTTTGCTACAAGAATTAATCTTTATCAACACAAAGCAAGTTATACGGCAGAGGTTGCATGAGCGTAATAGAAAGTTTCTGTTGATAATTACTCTAAAATGCCATCAATTAATTGATTCAGAAGTAGGTCAAATTAAACATTTATGAATAAAGTATATGTAAACAAACTCATTCATAAATAGATTAAATTATATTTCTATACTGTA